TACATGTACTGTATGTTCATGGCGTTCGAGATCGGCTCGCACTCCGAAAGGACGCAAGCAGATGTCGCAGACGAAGCGGAGATTGTGTTGGCGATTGTAGTGTTTTCTGCAGGGATAGAATTAGTATGGGCTTGGTTAATCATTGAAGGTATTTTAAGGTGGAACAGGCAGGGAGAGTACGTACTTTTGCTGGCCTGGGGTGTTGAACACCTGCCCACAGTCTCGGCAGATGGGTTTGTTGTCTGACGGGGTGAATGGCGTCGCGGGGGAGTCGGCTCCTATAGACGGTGTTGTGATAGCTGTTGAGCCTGGTGAGGGGACCTGTGTGGCTGTGGACGCGAAACTCAAGTATGTCATTGCAGAATCAGGCGTTGACTTGCTGGACTGCGGACTTGCTGTGACATTCGCGGTCCGTGGTGACGACGTTTTGGGCATCAACGCTCGTTGATGGTGACGCCGTCTTTGTCTTGAACGATCGGTATTCGTGCGGTCGTGGTTGTCGAATGGCTCGGTCTTTGCGCTGTTGATCTCTAACCGGCTTAGTTCGCGGCCGGCTTCTCTCTTGCGTGGTGCCAGATTGGGGGTGGATGCTAGAACAAATGCTGGGACAGGGTCTTCTGCTTGTGGTTTGGGACTATAGCTGGAGACTACGTCAAATACCGGTTCCCGATGGATACTGGGACTCCTTGCACTGTCAATTTGCATTTCCATCTCATCGTCTGGATGAGCTTGTGCGAGATCACGACTTAGCGGCGACGTGGCATCTCCTTGTATGGTATTTATGAACGTCTTGTTACCATCAGGCGTTGGGTGGCGCATGTTGAGCTCATTGGGATCAGCCATTTCAGTCTCTGGTAGAGGCAGATCAAAATCAAACGTGACGTGATCGCCGAGCGTTTGCACCTCAGTGTTCGGAGAAAGCGCCTCGATAGATGAAGTCAACTCGGTGAGTAAAGCCGCGTCTGGTTTGTTCGATGGACCCGGAGGTGGTGTTGGAAAAATCACAGGGTTTGGACCAAACTCGACTTCATATGGATCAACATAAGCTTGTTCAGGCTGTTGATTCTGCGGTATGCCCAGTCTGTCGCTATTCCAAATACTTGCAGGAGCAATATATAGGCTTGGTCGGGCTGCATGTATCTTATCAGCGGACGCAGTAGAGTAGCTAGGGCCAAACTTACCTCCGTAAATTGATAATCGTTCCAAGGCAACCCTTGTATTGATACCAAGTATCCGCTCGATGGCACTACGCTTTTCAGACTTTGAGGAGTCAAGTGTCGTTGAAAGCGTCGGCTGAGACGCCGAAGCATTATAAAGGGCTGGGTGTTGGCACCGTAGTGATTCCGAGTAATCAGGTGGTAGGGCAGCCTTAGTGTCTACTAATCTTGGGGCTGCAGGTAGCTCGTGTACGTCGGGTTCAAACTCGGGTGTGTGCTCAGATGTGGGCTCAGACACGATCGAGTTACATTTGAGTTCGTGTCGAACAGTTGTTGATTCAAGCTCGGGTAAGCTTGGCTTCGTCCTCCTCCCCCTTATTCTCTTCCACCAGAATAGCCAGCATGTTGCTCCAATAGCGACGGCAAAGCAAGTGACCAAGACAGTGACGCCAATTACGATTGAAGGGGCGTTGGCCGCAGGTAAGGCTCTTTTGCTCCGAGAAGGCGCATCATGCAGAATTGCGGAGCGGACAGCGAAGGCGATGGGGGCCATGTCGTCTGTGTAAGGATACTCAACAATGAAACATATATTTCGGGGCGGCCAGAGACAGACCATGTCATAACTATAAAGTATGTGGATAGACCATGAGGCTGAGTGAGGCATACTCATACTGCTGAGTTGGAGCCAATCACAGGTGCAGGTCGCACCAACTCGAAGGACCCCATCTTGCACATCATGCAGATGCAGATTGCCCTCATGAAGTCAGGATAGATGATATCTCTCCTGTCTTCTATTGGCACACATCGTGAGAGGCGGCATATGCACGTCTCCGCTTTGAACGGTTGCCCTATGATATAGTTCCGGAGACGCGCAATGCCTAAGTATAGCCATATTAATGGCACTCGCCAAACTGGGCGAGTATGTTCACTGTTACGCCTCTGATAGAACATGAGACTGTGATTGATTCAAATTTGAGTCCTTCAACTACACTCGGTATGCCTCATCAGACCGGATGCGTGTCTTGTTCAGTACTCGACTCGTAGTTCTCGGTGCAAATGTCGTCCTTGTGACTTTCCAAACTCAAGTTCTCGTTGGATTTGCTGTAGCGATGGTCCTCTCACAACGCTGCACATGTCGTGTGAAGTTATCTTTCCGGGCGTATGTCTTTCCCGGAGTCGTACACTCAATGTTTGGGCATCGAAATAGTTTCGTGGGAATGGCGTGCGTATCAAATCGGTGGACGTTATTTTTGTGCCGTTGGAGGTCCGCTCGTAATCCAAATCTTGAGCTGCAGATTGTGCAAGGGTATCGGAGGTTATGTTTACGATTTTGATGGTTTCTGACAAGACTCTTGTTAGCATGTATGTCACGATTGCTTGTGCATCTAGACCACGTACCTCCTCAAGCCTGGTGTTCGAAAGCTAAGGTGGCATAGAGGGCAAGGGAACGTTGTATCAGTGCTTGTTTCGGTTGATATCGAGGGAGACACTAAAGCTTCCACTGGCTTCGACACGCTGGGCAGTAATGAAAGTGGTAATGCTTGCGAAGCAAGATCCATCGCGCCGCGGTCCGTCCAGACATGGGAATCAAATGACAAGGTGGCTGTGATGTCATTGTCGAAGTCTTTCGAGGACTGATTCACTGGTATAATCGCAGCAAAGTTGATGAGTTCGACCGTTCCAAGCTTGTCTAAGCACCGTTCTTTACCTTTGAACAGCGAGAATTCTTCAGACGTTACTGTGACAGGTGATATTGATTCTACTGAGAGCTCTGATGTACTAGAGCCCAGCGAATGTATCGTGTCATCCGAAGACTCAGTCATGTTGGGATGAAGTGTCAATAAGGTGCCTGGATCGAGTGTTGTAGGAGTTGCGCATGGGGCCGGGGGATCGTCGAGGCTGATCACATGTGAGGCACTCATCCCAATACAGTCCCCTGGCGTTGACTGCATCTCTGAACCCGAAGCGCATGCTGTGCTATCATCCATATTCTGTGCCGATGTGACTTTTACTGAAGATGACAAGTGACAGAATATAACCGGATTGGGCTGGTGCTCCACATCCCACGGATTGACACAGACAGCATTATCAAAATCACACCTCCGGAAGGTAGACAGTTCTGTAAATTCGCCTTCCGCAGTCTTTGTTACGATCGCGCGGCTTTGCCTCGGTCTGATAAAGGCAAAGCAATCGACAGTATCTTCACCATCGGATCGTGGTGAGTGCAATTCCGCTGACGTGCTTTCTGACGCACAATGATTGTGGGTGAATCTATCAGGCCTGAAGTCCTGAAGCCAGCTTTTAGAGCATTCAGTTGATTGTAGAGTCTCGGGTGAGTCTCCAGTTCCGAGGAATGGCGGTTTAGAGCCAGACCCTACACTTGCTGGAGCTGCGGTCAGCCATGGTGCTTTACCTAAAGTTATGTCAGTCTCACGTGCCTGAGCTCAGCCAGATATTTGGTGCACTTACGATCATGCGACGTTATATCGTTCAAGTACGAAGCATCGTCGGTGCCAAGAATGCGCTTCGCATCTACCACGACCGGTTTCACATCCTCGGTAGATGTCTGGCGTGTTGATGTGTACGCTTCGCGATTTCGTTGAGCAATCATGAATGATGACCCTAGCGGACGACATTCTATTGGACCAGGCTGGAGTTCTGATTTCGAATCATCATAATGAGCCGCATCCTGCAAGTCCGGCGCCTGAAGACCCCGTTCGCGACCAGCCGTGTAAAGATCCTTTGCGCGGGCATGGCCTTTCTCAGCCTTGTCTACAACCGAAGTTGATAGATGTTTTGCTCTGGTGAAGATACGGCTTCCAAGCAGACAAATCCAAACGATGGGGACGAGGAGGATAAGCAGACCGAAGATGCTTCCTATCACGATTCCCGCGATTGCGCCATCGCTGAGACCATTTCCAGTAGCGGCGCGTGGCTGAGGAGAAGTCGACGAATGGATGTTCCTCGGTAAATTGGACATGGTGTACAGAGGCTGATAGATGGTGTTTGGGCTAGGAACGTCTGTGAAGCGTCCTTACAGTGTTGTGCTTATAACAACCACGACGGAAGCTGGAGGCATAGTAACGGAGTTCTATACGTCCACCTTAGCGACCGGAAAGTTACTATCTGCAGGAAGATTCTGCGATACGTTTGAGACGATATGGGAAGGTCTGCATGCGGCATGACACAAGGCTGAGAAGAGCTGGAGGCATACTGATTCCGTCAGGGCTTGCCATTGGACAATCCACATATTGCCGCCATCCTTCAGCCTCGTGGTATCTGAACGCGGCCTTGAAGCGCTAAGCGTGCCTCTAGTATGCTTCGACAAATTGGCCAACCTTTGTTGCTATGCATCGTGCCTTCTGGGTTCGTAGTTGATAGGACGGAAGACCGCGACTGAACGGGTGACAGCAGGATACCTAGGTATGGATTGGCAACAGCATCGTCGGCTGTGTTAAGAAGCGAGCGGGCACTACAACAGATGCCGGGTAAATGTCGCTGATTTGATTCGTGCCGCAGAGGTACCAGATACACAGAATACCACTCTGGCATCCGGAAGGCGGGAGATCGATGACTAACCCCGCTAGCTGCTTCCGGTCGAAACTAAGCCGCATTGTCTCAACCTTGGAAGTCACATTGCAGGTCGAAGCTGAGAGGAAGGAACTAATCGTTGGGTATCGAATATGAACGCCGTCTTTTCACGCGGCTCTCCATAACACGAGCGCAAACTCCTACCACCTAGCAAGAAAACCAATAAAGCAGCAAGCCATCAAGCTCCTATTTTTTCAAAGTCTCAGTTTCCAAGACCTGAACTTCCAAGGCCTGAGTTTCCAAGGCCTCTACCTAATGAGGCTTGATGCTGGACCTGGCGAGCCACAAGGCCACGCTCTCCTTTGCGACTTCACTGCCCCATACGCCATCAGCTCCGCCTCGTCGCCATTCCTCGCCAGACACGTCTTCGCCGCCACCTCGTGTGGCCTCGCCGAGTAGCACTTCCAGGTCGCGCTTCTGGCTGGACAACCAGCGCTTGAAAAAGGCCACGGGGTCCTTGGACATGCTGGTGAAGAAGGCGTGTTTCGCCTTCGACTGTCCGATTGCACCCATCAACAGCACGAGCTGCTCGTCAATCTTCTGGATCTCTTGCAGGGTCTGTATGCTATCTGGTCGGCGGAGGATGTCTTGGAACAGCGGCTGCATCGGGTCCTCGAGTGCTACCTGGACGTCGTACACAGTCGGTTCGGAGGGGGTCTTGCCAGAGTCGGCAGCGGGCGAGATGTAATCCTTGTCCACACGGATCGTATATTGTAGTTGGATTGGTGGGAGAGTCGTGAGGTGTTGCTTGATGAGTTGGGGCAGGTTCGGGAAGAAGAAGTGGTCCTGGCCACCGAACAGGGCCTTCAGCCTCGCGTCGCACGCAAACTTGCGCTCGTCGTCTTCTTGTTGTAGGTGTTGCGACCTCGCGTATTCCCAGATGCCCATGAGGACACCAGCGCGATCCTCCTCATCGGTGTCAAGCAGCTCGGCGAGAGGTTTGCTCAGGCGAAAGACCTCGGGGTTTTGGTACCGCTGTAGGTTGATCGTGATGTTGATGTTCTCGTCGCCCTTGCGCTCGAACTCGAGTTCGCTGAAGTTGGCTTCCTTCGCAGTGGGGTTCTCGGGTCGTTTCCATTCGATTTGCGTGAAATTGTCAGGTTGTAAGCTCTTGGCGCGGTCGAAATCGATGTTGATGGACGTGAAGTAGTGTGAGAACTGCTTGGGCTTCGCGGCTGGCTTTTTCTCGGCTCCGTCTTCATCCCTAGATGCTAGTCAGTTTTGCTGTACGTGGTAAAATCCGACCGACAGGCGCTCGAACTGGCGCCGGCGCAAGTAAAAGGTCGACATACATAGCATCGGCGTCCTTCTCCTCGTCCTCATCCTCCTCGAGGCCTTCGTCGCCGTCCTCGTCGAGCAGGCGGCCTTGGATCTTAACGCGGTATGTCGCGTTGTTCTCGCCGTCAAAATCGAAAGCGTCTGCGTCGAGGCCGGTGCTCTGCCAAGGCTGGTTCTCGGCGGTGTTTGATATCCATATGCGCATGGTGCCGTAGCGCGATGCGCGCGAATGGTGTTTTGAGTCCATGACATCCAGCTTCTTGCGCATCATGGTCGCATCCAGCGTGCGCTCGACCTCGCGCAATTCCTTGTAGCGGGCTACGGCGTCGCCGATGCACACGTCTTCCACGCCCTCGGCAATGTTCTTATCGGTCGGGTTCTTCGCGATTCGGCGCATCTTCTCGCGGCGTTCAGCTTCGGCGCGCTGCGAAGCCTGCATGTTGGCGTTGTTGTACTGCGGTTGCGCAGCCGGGTGCGCAGCGTGGACAATGGGGCCTGGGTTGCGAAACAAGTGAGCGAGGTCGTTCCTACTAATCATCGTCTTTTACGGAAGGTATGCGCAGGCGGTCGGTGCGATGGGGCGTGTTGGGGAAGCTGTGGTTGGCAATGGGTACTTACCTGGTCGCCGGGATGGCGTAGCTGCATTGTGCTGTTGCGGATAATTATATCCCCGTGCCTGATAGTTCGGTTGCATGGTGCAAAGTGTGCGAAAATGAACGGCAGCGAAGTTCGCGATGAAAGCGCGTCAGTGGAGATGGAAGGTGGATAGGATGGTAACTTCTTCGAGACGCGTCGAGGTTAGGTACGACTACGTGCATGCACGGATACTCTAGCTCCCCCTATAGGCCATGCGGGGCATCACCCCCACCCAGCCCTCGACTGCACAAGCTTTTCCATCTACTTCCAGCCTCATCGACATCAGGGACCCGCGTGTGATGTAAAATAGCAGCCTTCAAGAGGTGCTTCTCGCTGCTATTGGGGCCCCGTCTCATTCACTGCTTCAGCATCCGTCTTGGCACTCGTTGACGCTCGTTCAGTGAAGCGATCTAGTATCCTCCAAGTTTATCTAAGCGTCATTATCGCTGTCCCCTGTTCTTCTTCTTCCTTTCTTTTTCTCCCATCTGCACCTAACAGGCAAGACCAGTCGACACCCAGCGCTCTAGTCTTTGGCGTGAGTGAAGAGAAGGAAAGCATGGAGGACCAAACGTCCAAGAACCCTCTCAGAAGAATTACCAACGTGCGTATACCAGATAAACCGTCGTCGACACTCTGGGACATCACGATCAACGATGGGAGAATTGCTTCGGTAGACAGCCATGTCAAGGACTCGGACGGGCGCAGTGAAGACACGCTAGATGGAGGCAACCGTCTCATAGCGCCATCGCTTTGTCATGCCCACATCCACCTTGACAAGTGCTTCCTCCTACAAGACCCCAAATTCAGCGACTTACAGATCGAGAGCGGCGACTTCACGGAAGCCATGTCGATGACAGGTGAGGCCAAGTCAAGGTTTGAGGAAAATGATCTCCTGAGGAGGGGCGCGCGTCTTATCGAAGAGAGCATCCAACATGGTGTGACCGCTATGCGGGCGTTTGTAGAAGTGGATGGGGTGGTGCACACGAAATGTTTGGACGCAGGTCTCAAGCTGAAAGAAATGTTCAAGGATCGCTGTGAAGTGCAAATCTGCGCGTTCGCCCAGCTCCCGCTATTCTCTGGCCAAGACGGGGGTGAGGAAGTAAGGAAGCTGATGGCCAGTGCTGCCTCGTTGGAGAAGGTGGCTGTTCTCGGAAGCACACCATATGTTGAGGATGATGAACAAAAGTCCAAGGATAACGTGAAATGGATCACGCAGTTAGCACTCAAATACCAGAAGCATCTAGATCTCCATCTTGACTACTTCCTGGAAGAAGACAAGAAGCCACTGGTCTGGGATACCCTGGACATGTTCAAAGAGCTCAAATGGAACGAAAAGGCGGGAGACAGGCAAATTACGCTAGGACATTGCACCAGATTGACGAGATTTCGGAACGACGAGTGGACGCATCTAAGACAGGAAGTAGGCGACCTGCCAATTTCTTTCGTAGGCCTGCCGACTTCCGACCTGTTCATGATGCGAACACCAGAGAATGTGCGCGGGACTCTGCCTGTCGTTGAACTCATCAACGAGTACGGGTTCAATGCTGCCATTGCCGTTAATAACGTGGGCAACGCGTTCACACCGTACGGGAACTGCGATCCTCTGGTAAGACATCTCGCCTTAATGCTCATACAGAAATGTCGCTGAAACTGTGACTAGAGCATTGCATCACTAGGTGTCGGTCTTTACCAAGCTGGTACAAAGAAAGACGCTGAACTCCTATATGTAAGCAGCCGTTCAACACCCCGTTTGCTCATGCTAACCATGCAGGAAACCGTATCTACACGGGCAAAGACCGCTATTGGCTGCGATTCGACGTCTCTCGCCCTAAAGCCGGGCCAGCCTGCCGACTTTGTGTTGTTCGACCGAATGGACAGTGGCTGGCACTGCAGAAAGAGCGTGGTAGAGGTGGTGTATGATGCCGGGAATGCTCGCCAAACGGTTTTCGGAGGCCGGTTGATTGCATCGAAAGATACGCGAACGTAATGTATGAGGGCTCTTCAGTGATGCTGAATGAGTTGGTGACACTGGAGGGGAATTTCTAGGATGCGACCTCATACCGAGTGTCTCAAACGTACGTATGAAAACTTCACCCACTCCGCGCTTTTTAGTCTGAGCATATGCCTGTCGCTTTTTATCAGCTGCCTTAGATTGAATCGTTGAGTAGGAGTGCAATATTCTTCCGCAGTCATCGCGACTTCCCTCAGATGCAACAGTCGTCCCAATGGGGCCTAGGAGACCCTGCTTGTGACACAGTATGTGCAAACAACCCGCGAAGACTCCTAACCGCGCACGTCCACTCACTATACAAACGAGCGATTTTGCGTTTCCGCGCCCGCGAGACCGAAAAGCGGTGGACGACACGCGCTCACGTGTTTCATCTTCACTTCACCGGAAGGTGCAATCGCTGCTAACAGACCAGACTCGGCTATTTGAGGACCGAGCGTCTGTACCACGAGGCTCCAGCACCCATCAATTCTGCAAATATCTCGCATCAACGCCGGTATTGAGATTGGACTGAAGGTTGTGGCCAAGAGATAGTGACCGTGCTGCCGCCTGGACGAACGTCATGGAAGCTCTCGACAGCGACAACATGCTCAATATTGCGCAGCAATCGCGACACCCAACCGAAATGATCCACTCCGGAACGATCAACGGCAGACACGAGCACGTGATTCGTGGTCATCAACCGACTATCGGGCAGGTCGTTTACATATTCCTGGACAACATCAAGGTGCGTCGTTGCTTTTGCACTTATCTTAGACCCTGCACCCTATACAAGAGAAAAGCTAAACACCTAGGAGCCTACGTTGCTGTTAAGCTACTAACTTTATAAGTTTTTATCTTAATGTAGGCTCTAGGGTATTTAGTTTTTCCTTTAAATAGGGTGCATTCCCGTAGCATCTGAGACTGACTATCGAAGCTCCGATTCGGTGAACATTCGACTGAGGTCATCAGCATCTTGAACATCCTTGGTACATTCCGAGCTGGAGAGATGTCGAAGAAAGACACACTCGTTGCGATCAGGAACACGCTCGGAGATCATGCAGACCTCAAGCAAGATCTTCTGAATATCCTGTTTCACAGAGAGGCCGACTGGGGTAAGTTTTGACTATACGAAATGCATGTGAGACATATACTGACGTCGTGCGTCTACCTCCAGGCGTGGGCGACTTCGACTTTGGGTTCCGCCAGCCTCTCGAACAACCCAGCCCTAGCCCTCAATTCCTGCAGCCGACTCATCAGCCTCAGATGCGCTTACCCCGAATCTCTCCACTATGGCACGAGGATGATCATACCTACTATAGCCAGCCTTGGTCTTCTGTCACCAACGGTCCGATGCTCGACCATGCGCAGTCTCCCACCGGCAATCACTTCAATTCGCCAGCAATCTCTTACCAAACCCAACTGTCTCCAGCTCTCTCGCCAAGGAAGGGAAAGACTGCCACCGCTAGCCCATCTGTGCTTGGAGTACCCGTCGCTGTACCCATCGGCCAGCCCATCGACGAGATGCCCCCTCCATCAAAGAAACGCCGTCGTCGTCAAAGCTCAACAATCCAGGCTAAGACGAAGGAGGAACCAAGAGAAGAATATGCCGAGATCGCTGATCGACTCTCAGACCCAACCCAGCCGGAAAAGAAGATCAGAGAGGCAAACACCATGTCGCAAGGAACAGGAGGGCCATACATTCACAGTCTGTGCGGCAAGGGATTTTCCGGCAGGTCAAAGGTCAAGAAACACCACTGGGGTAAGAAGCTTGATGATCTGGAGACAACTAGCGGTTGTTGGGCGAAGAACAACAAGCCATACGTGAGCTGGAACGAGCATCCGAGCTGCAGAGAGGGCGTGGCACAACGAAAGCCTTCATCGGCCGTTCTGAAACCGAAAACGTTGACCCAAGAAGCCCCATTGGTGCCTTCGATGGTACCTACCTCTGGAGACCGCAACCATTCTTTTGCCGACACTTCGCGGTCCCGCCAAGAGAGGGAGCAGCCTATCGAACACATGAGCTCTTATCATTCTCATCGGCTGCCTACTCGATCAAGTTTCGACGACCTGCTCACTGCTGTCAACGTCGCATCCGAGATCGACGCGCCACGACCGCAAGGACGCATCGACTCAGTGGTCTCTCATCTCGATGCTCAGGCAGCCGCTGCTGAACAGAACAGGCAGTACATCACCAACTGGCAGGATGCTTCAGATGATCGCCGTGAGGAGTCTCTTGCATACGGTCGCCAGTACCCATACACGACACAGGGACTTGGCCTTCGAGGTGTTCACGTGCCAGTACACATGGCTTTGCCGGTTCTTGATGGATCACACCAGTACCCTCCTCCCTCACGTTCTTTCGCCGATTCACACTGGAATAACGGCAACGAGTTGGAGTTCGACGGTTCGAGGCGACAGTATGCAGCTCTCGGATCGCCGTTCTCGCCTGGTGCAGATGCGGAATACCGTTGAATCTAGCCGGGGAGCCAGTTTGCGCGTTTTACTGGGACGAAAACGGAGACGGTTGTATGGAAAATGACTGTAAGCGTCAGCGAAAATGAAGCAGAATTCATCGAGTGTAGTAGTGATTGGAGCTGCAGAAAGAGTGTACGATTATAATCAACGAGAATACCCGACTCATGTATGTAGCGGTTGTTCGTAGAACAACAGAACATGGCGCGATCTAATCTAATGTCTTCCGAAATCATGTTGTATCTGTATGATCAGGGCGTGATGATGAATGACGAGCTGCTTCGTAAAATGATGCAAATGGCGGTGTCATTGCTGCATGCAGTATACCATCCCGACCTTGCATACACGACATGTGGCGTGGTTCAAGCTTCCGCCTCAACGGGTAAGCTCATCGGCAGGGATACTTCACCCCAGCCGCTCTCCGCGTAAACAACAAGCCATCTCCACGTTCTTCTGCCTGTGAAGGGGGCGCGTTTAGTTTTTTCCGCTATTTTCCGCGAATGGCGACTTTTGCCGGTGCCTTTTACTAGACTAATCCTTGTCAAGTGAGATTGTGTAGTCGCGCTGCTGGGAGCTATGACGACCGAGGCTTCGAGCTTGCGACGGAGCTGGATGCCTCACGGTGCAACACGAACGAAGAACAACTGCAATTGAGAGCGACAACCTTGTGCGACAGCTGATCATCACGCTCCATGGCACAGATGTGACTAGTATGCAGCTTCTGTGAGCTTACGCGGGCCGATTTCGTCATAGCCGCGTTCCTGGGGAAATTGACATGGCCTTCCTGCGGGGAAGAAGCGCACGTTCGCTACCCTCGAGCGGCGACCCGCACTTTCCCCAGTACGAGCCCATTAGCACCATAAACCCGGAGGCTGGAGAAGTGAGAATATGCGGGATGGATCCTAGTCACAGGATCGTGGAACGGTAATTACGCCGGTAGCCTGTTCGTCTATAGCAGTATATAATAACCCTCCGCCGTTCAACCCCGTACTCTTCTCCACACCACATCACATCACCTCCACTTCTCAACTCGATCGAGCTTGGCAAGTCACGATGCGGTTCTCAAGTGCACTCCCCCTCTTTGCTGCGACTGCCCTCGCGCAGTACAGCACCCCACCGACTAACTCGAGCTCGTCCGGACCTGACAAGGACGGCAAGTACGAGATCTCGTCTGAGGGCATTCGCGGTCACTTCATCCCATATGGCGCGTCCGTCTCCAACTTGTTCGTCATGGGCAAAGACGGTGTTGAGCGCGACATTGTCCTCGGCTTCGACAACGCGACTGCTTACGAAGGCGAGGTTCACCCCCATTTGGGTGGTGTGCCAGGCCGCTACGCCAATCGCATTCGGAACTCTACCTTTTCCATCGATGGCGAGCAGTTCTTCATCGAGCCCAACGAGAATAACAACAACAACACCCTGCACGGTGGACCAGATGGATGGGATTACCGCAACTTTACTGTTGTGGCGCATACCGAAGACTCCATCACCTTCTCTATTGTCGATCCCGACGGCAAGGAGGGCTTCCCCGGTGAGGTCGTGAGCTACGTTACCTACACCATGACCCCAAACACCTGGAACATCAAGATCGTGGCGCTTGCTACCACCAAGAAGACACCCATCATGCTGACTTCTCACGTAAGTAAATTGCTTTTTGATGCATATTGCAATGCTAATAAGCGTAGACCTACTGGAACTTGGACGGATTCGGTAACCCCGAAGATGAGACTATCTTCAACCACACTTTCCACATCCCATACTCTGGCCAGCGCATGGATGTAGATGCCATTCTTATCCCCACCGGTACAATTCTTCCCAACGAGCAATACTCTGTCAACGACTTTTGGTCGGCGCCCAAGCAGATTGGTGCTAACCAGACTGCGCCCGAGCTTCTCGGCAACTGCGGAACTAACTGCACCGGTTACGACAACTGCTACCTCGTCAACCGCGACGAAGCCGAGGCTCTCGACTGGCGCAACTCTGGACCTGTCGCTTCTCTGTGGAGCGAGTGGTCCGGCATCAAGCTCGACGTCTACTCTGACCAAGCCGCGTACCAGATGTACAGCTGCCCCGGTCAAGATGGTATGTAAAACCCGCAAAATTCCCGTAAAACCGCTAACAAAATGTCAGGTACTCTGCCTATCAAGTCTACCCAAGGTGCTGAGGGAAGCAGCGGCTACGTCCCCAAGTACGGCTGCGTCGTCATGGAGGTTCAAGACTGGATTGACGCCATCAACCACCCCGAATGGAGGCGCGAGAAGGAGCAGATCTTCGGTCCTTCCAGCGGAGCTTACACGCTCGAGGCCCAGTACGTGTTCTCTACTACTGAGTAGATTACGCACTATTGTGACGAATGAGCGGAGCCTTGGATAAGGCGACATGATACCACGTGCGATAGTATAATTAGGCACCTTTTGAGGATGTCGTAATGGTAATCGAGGTTGATTCCTACTTCACGTCGAGTTTCTACTTTGCTTTGTTTGTTGTGATACTCCTTTTCGTCGGTCACCATGGATATGCAGTCGCCTGGATTTGCGGTCACCTTGGAGTTGCGGTCACTATGGAGTTGCCGTCACCGCGGATTCGATGCCGTCGTCGTTGCCTACGTCCCTGTCCATCTCGCCGACTGCTCCTTCCTTTACACCTTTACCCTCACCAAACAACTCGCCATCTTGAGAGCGAGAACTTGCTATCCAAAGACAACCCCAAGGGGTCGTCTATACGACTCTAGCAAGCAAGCTGCTCGATCCCATCCCCTTCACCTTCACCATGGCTGGCGGCCACAAGAACCGCAGCAAGAACCGCCGCAAAAACAAGAACAAAGGCAACGCCAAAGAGGCCACCGAAGAAGGCCCCAAAGCCAGCGATGAGGGTAAGGCAGAGAGCTCACAGCTGCCCGCACCCACTAACCTCAAGTCCCCCATTGACCTCCCCGAGCTCGACACGCCTAACACTACTTCATCCCTGAACTTCGCATTGCGCAAATTTACACCTCAACTGAGCACGACTGACAAAGAGAAAGTGGGCAATGAAATAGGTCCTCAGACACCAGTTGTGAACCCAGCTCCACCTCGATCTGGCTTCGATGACTGGACTTCACCAGAGCCTGACGTTCACAACAAGCCCGAGCCCGGTCCCTCTCAATCACGAAAGAGCAAGACGACTCGCGCATTGGGTCTCGCTCGAGCAACTGACGCAGCGAAGAGGCTGCACCGCGTCTTGGGCATAGCACCACCAGAGCCGTTCGTTATGCCGCCTGACATGCCGGAGGGTCTAAAGGAAGAGTTCGAGGCTGGATTGGAGGAGTATGGACTCGATAAAAAGATGCAGAATATGGGGTTAGATGTGCTGAGTCAGGCGGCGGGTATGCAAAAGCCTCTACCGGATAAGCCGCTGTTCCCTTCTCCTCAAGTTGAGGCAGAGACTTGGGATGAAGGAAAGGGCAAGGGCAAAGGTAAGGAGCCCATGTCTACTCCAACAGCCAAGGGTAAGCAGCCCATGGCACCTATTCAAGCTACCGTCGCCATCCAAGCCCCATCAGGAGTAGAGCCTTCGTCAGCCAAGAAGCGTATGTCGCCTCCAGGTGGCGATGAGGCCCCCGGTCCGGCACCCAAAGGTTCCCGTGTAGACGGTACAACCGGCCTACCAACCCTTCCTGAGTCATCTTCATGGGATATCGATTTCCCCGGCTATACTCCCGCGCTCCTCACCATCCTCCTGAACTGGTCCTTCACAGTACAGTCATTCTACCGGCGCCTCCCAAACCCTAAGGCATTCCGTGCCCATGCCTCATTTCCCTTCCCCGTCACCGCTCCGATCTATAACCACCTCATCTCCGTCGGCTTTTACGACACCAGCGTCGTTCCCCACAAGGAGATCAGGTTCTTGGGTCCAGGTGACGCGGCTGAGATCGCCTACGCAGAGGTCGACGTATTCCGTGGCAAGGATGAACGCGCTGCTTTCGAGGAGCAAGAGCAAAAGCATACGAAGCTCGAGGAAATGAAGAAGAAGCTGAAGCTTGGACGCGGGTACCGTGGGCCGGGAGGAGAGGCGACTCGATCCCAGGACCAGTATCATCTTGCCATCCATGGAGAGGGACGATGGGCGTATGTCCTGATCAAGGGTCACCCCACCTCGCCTGAGGACATCGCGCCGCCGCATATCATGCTCGCGTGGCACATCTCCGCCGTCACCAATGTGTCGAGTTGCCTGCACACTGTCTTTCCCGAGAAGGATACTCCCGCTCCTGGTGACCAGCCCATGACTCCGACATCTTCTAAGCAGCCACTGAGGCCCTTTGCTTCCCTACAGAATCTCGTGAGCGGAAGCCGTGGCCAGAAGCATCTCCATCGCGAGATCCGCTCAGCCTCGAGCACTTCGGAGCTACCTCAGGTGGATGCATCGAGCATTGAGCCGCAAGAGGGTGCGCTGACGTTGAAGAGGACGGTCGCCAAGATGGAGAATGCTGGGAGTATACCCCTTGTTGAGGGCTTCCGGGTTGACGTTGGGCAGTTCAAGGGATGGCTGGATGCTGTAGGCAAGGGAACAGGCAAGCTCATTGTTTGGAGGAAGTAGTAGTCTACTACTCTACCATCCATGCGCCGGTTGCCTAATATGTGGCATCAGTGGCTTGCAGTACGAGTGGGCGAAGGATTGAAGTTGGGTTGGCCGTTCGGAACAGATGCTTCTAGCGAGAACAGTGTGTGAACTTGCTCTCGATTGATACAGCAATCGCTTGAAGCTAGTCATCGTTCTGTCTTGGGGACTCCGTTCTAACTACACACTATTAGCTAAGACCACCCAAGGCATGGAATTTACTTCTGCCCCAAAAATACCCAAAAGGCGTCGCAATCGTGAAGCTCTTGAGGCCATCAGATTGATAAAAATTGATGCAGTTCGCTTACATTAAAGTGCGGCGTGTCATTGCGACACATGGTGGTCCCTTATCCAATGATTCACGTGTTTCCTGAGCCGATACAACACGGCCTCTTCGTCCATCG